GACCCCCAGCCATGTTACTGATAACCAGAGATGTTGTCAGTTCAAGAGAAGCTACACTTTTTCCATAATTTTGTCTATTAGCCACACTGAGACGTTTCTTGCTCTAGTTATCTTTCTCACAAAATATTTATCAAGCAGTAAATAATAGAAATTTACATTATTTTGTGTTTTTTTCTAATTTGTCCAGCAATATGTGAAGTAGGTGGTACATAGTTTATCCATGCTTTGTAGAAAATGAGGTTGAGTAATTTCTCAAGGGTCACACAGTAGTACTCAAACCAGTATGATAGCATTGTGGGTGTTTTCTTTTTCCAGATTTCCCTAATTAAAAATCTCTTCATGTCGTAGGAAACAGTTTGCACTTCTTACACAGCATGTGTCACAAACACCAGGCCCTTGCGTTGTGTTACTCAGAGTACAGGTCTGGCGCTTTCATTGTGGCCTGTTGTGTGTTGCGTCATCACGAGCCTGAGCCTGTTGCCTTCGTTTGTGAGTCAGCCCGAGGCTAGAACTGCCTCAGATCTGTTTCCAGGGAGTCACACCGCCTTATAATAAATCTTCTCCTGTCATCCTCCCAGGAGAAGTGAACAAGGACTGAAGGTAGAAATTACAGAGCAGTCAGAACTGGATTCCTTTTGGCAACTTAAGTTGTTTTGAAAGGTTTCTTCTTTTCAGCTTTAATGCTTCTCAGGTATGTCTAGACAAGACCATTGAACCGGAGGGCAGAGACGGGTCTGACCCCAGCCCCACCGCCATGCACAGATGGCCTAGGTCAGTCAGCGCTCATCTGAGACTTGTCTGCTCTTTTATATAAAATAAACAGAAACTAAAAACTAATAGCTCCCTACTCACATCAGAAATTCTAGTCAAATTTAATAATATATGCAAACTGAAAACAAGGTGTAATTGGAATTTTTTTTTTGGAAAAAATGGAAGCTAGACTCTTGCACGCCCCAGTGTTTCATGTTGACTCGAAGACTTTGTGAGAGCCAGGTGGCTGCAGTGGGAGTTTCTCTGTGCCATCGCTGACACTGTGTAAGCATTTCTCTGGTCCTCGCCTCGTGTATCATCTCAGTTTGTTAGAAAACACCAGTGAATTCAAGTAAGAGGTAATGCCCTTTGCTCTGGGTTTGGAGCTGAGACTTGGTCTGTTTGGGCCTCGGCAGCATCTTTGCTGCACTGATGCTGTGCCATCGGAGGATTACTGACAGCAAAGCGGGCAGCTTGAGACGCCGCATCGGCTCGTTTCCCAGCCATAGACACGTGCCGAGGTTGGGGCGCAGAGCTGGGACCTGGCTGCGTGTGGAGGCTGCTGACTCTGGGCGGCGCCCTCGGCGCCTGGCCGGCCGCCTGGAGGCCCGTTGCTGTTGGGAGTGCCCGTGCCTCAACACGACTGTGTCTTTAGACCCAGCGTGTTCCCAGGGGTCGTCAGTGGTAGGAAAACAGGGGTTTGTGCAAAGGACGTCTTCACTTTGAATATCATGCAGCTTCTATCATAATACGTTTTCTAAATGCTCATAAATAAGCCAGAGACTGTATCACAATGACTTGGCTCTGTAAGAATTTGATGCCAGAACTTGTAATGTGACAGACGTTGAGCTGTCGAGTGATCGAAGATACCTGGCAGATTTATGAGGCTTCGTGCTTACAAGGCAGGCTCATGGGGGACCATCCAGAGGACACAAGTCATGCCAAGTTTGCCAGCACGCTTGCACTTCTGACACTATTTTAGAGTCTTACCCCAAAATGTGCTTTCTGACTGTAATGGGAATCTAGTATTATTGTCATATTCCTGTTTCTGTGTGTGGGCGCAGCTGGTACAGCCCTGTTCATTCCCAGGGTGCAGCTGAACAGCCTCTTCCCTTGCGGGGGCCACGGGCTCTGTGCAGCTGGGATGCTGTCGTCCAGGCCTCGAAGCTGAAGGGGGTAGAGGGGACCATCCCCCTGAGGCCACAGGCCCACCTGTGTGGTCCCCTTCGGCAGTGTTTAGAAGATACCCAAGCTGCCTGGAGGGACTGAGTTTCTTCTAGTTAGTCCACACTTTTCACCAGTTGATTGAATAGCTGTTACCTCACTGGATTGTTGGGCTTCCCTGATAGCTCAGTTGGTAAAGAATCTGCCTGCATTGCAGGAGACCCTGGTTCGATTCCTAGATTGGGAAGATCCGCTGGAGAAGGGATAGGCTACCCACTCCAGTATTCTTGGGCTTCCCTTGTAGCTCATTTGGTAGAGAATCTGCCTGCAATGCGGGAGACCTGAGTTTGATCCCTGAGTTGGGAAGATCCCCTGAAGAAGGGAAAGGCTACACACTTCAGTGTTCTGGCCTGGAGAATCAGTCCATGGGGTCGCGGAGAGTCTAGCAACATTCACTTTCACTTTTCGCTCACTGAATCGTTAGTCATTTTTTATAGTGTTGTTGTTTTTTTAATCCTCATCTTACAAGTGAGAAAGCAAGACACCCAGAGCCGTGCCTGCTGTAAAAAACAAACACGCAGCAATGGAAGACACCAGCCCCAGCGCGGCCGCCCCTGCCTCACCCCAGGCTCTGCCTTCCCACGGTGGTTCTCCTGCTTGTAATGTCCGGACTGTTTCATTTCATTCACCTTCACCTTGGTTTTGCCAGATCATCGTGATGATTGTTTTCTGAGTCAGGGCATCTCACACGGCAATATGCATGAAATACCTGGGATCTGGTTAAAATGCAGGTTCTGACCCGGGTGTGGATATGTTTAAAAGAAACGGCTGAGCACTCCATGATGGCTGAGTGCACTGCGGTCGCCCTGGGGCTCTGGAACGTACATCTGAGCCATGCATTTGGAGGAAGATGTTACCTGAACGGACCTTGTCCCCTGTGGACCTGGGGTCTCGATGAACACCCCAGCCTTGGCGCTGACTGCCAGCAGGCTGCATTGACACTGTCGTAGTCATGCAAAGCCGGATCTCAGTTCTTCAGAAATCAAGCACTGTTATTTTTAAATAACAAAGGACAAAGATAACTGTGGAGGAATTCACATTGAATTACTGAAACAAATGAGGGTTGCCCTAACCCCAGCCCTCTCGTCCGCCTCTCACCTGTGTGTGTCACAGGTCCCACTCTGCACTGTGTCCCTCCAGGCTGCACCACGTGGGGGCTGTGACCCCAGCGCTCTGTCTCCCTCCTGGAACCCATGCAGCTCCGACCGTTTCTGGCCCACGCACACCCCCTTTCTGTCCCTCAGGCTAGAAGCCGTGCTTGCCCGCAGGAGTTTCCATTGTTTGTTGATGAATGAGAAGATGTTTAATATGAAAATAAGACAATTAAAGCTTTATGAATCAGGAGAAACCCAAAAACAGCAGCAGTCCCGTCCATGTGATATAAAGGAAGGGTCAAGAGACTGGAGCTTCCCAATGCAAGCCACTAGCATGTCTGATGTCTCTAAACCTCAACATCTTAAGGCGCTGTTGGAGGAAACTCTTGGCTTAGGTTGGGAAGGCTCAAGACTTTTCCTTGCACCGAAGTTACACTCTGAAGCTTCCCACAGGCTTCATCTTCGCTCCTGAAAATTGCCTTTTTCTGCTGGTTTGCTGTTCTTGTGGCCAAGTAGACAGAGAAGAGAGTGGCCTGGCTGACTGAGCCTTCACCCCGCACTGCGGCAGTCGCAGCCATACTCGTGTTTGTTCACCTGTCCTGAGGTGTGTCCTGAGTGTCCGCTGTGGGCCAGTCCTGCCCTGGGCCCTGGGAAGAGACCTATACGGATATAGAGATACAGCATGCACACACATGTGCACACACACGCACGCAGGGTGGGGCCTGCTCCCCTGCCAGCAGACAGATCACATTACCACTCATGAGTGGTTCATCTCTACGGCCACAGTGCAGAGTCACCTGCCACAAGTCTCTTACATAATTTGTTTCTCTTTAGAAGAGCTTTTAATTTAATTTAGATTATAAATAGAGTTGTATAAAATGGCAGCTGTCTTCAATAAACACCAGTATTGGTGATTTTAAAGTAGATCAGTTGACCAAACTACTTCTTCAACAATTACTTGTTTATTTCTAAGAGAATATGCAATGTTATGTGATTAGGCCTAACTAGGCCCCAAGAGGATGCTCTAAATTGTGTAGGGACATTAATTATACTGAGTTTCCAAGCCCTGTAATTCTTGCAGGTTGGAAAATAAAAAAGCACACAGTTCATTATTGTGGTTATTTGTTGGGCTGTCAGTTCAGCTCCAGTACTGGCAAGGTCCACAGACTAGGACTTATCCCTTGGTTTTGTCGTCTTTGATTCCTGTTGTCAGTCATTCATTTCAGTTCAGTTGCTCAGTTGTGTCTGACTGTTTTGCAACCCCATGGACTGCAGCATGCCAGGCTTCCCTGTCTATCACCAACTCCCAGAGTTTACTTAAACTCCTGTCCATTGAGTCAGTGATGCCATCCAGCCATCTCATTCTCTGCCATCCCCTTCTCCTCCTGCCTTCAGTCTTTCCCAGCATCAGGGTCTTTTCAGATGAGTCAGTTCTTCACATCAGGTGGCTAAAGTTTTGGAGCTTCAGCTTCAGCATCAGTCCTTCTAATGAATATTCAGGACTGATTCCCTTTAGGATGGACTGGTTGGATCTTCTTGCAGTCCAAGGGACTCTCAAGAGTCTTCTCCACATGCTCTTAAAGGTCAACGGAGCACTTGAGCGGGCTTTCATTGCTAACACAGGAACAGAAAAAGCAGTAACTTTTCCTAAGGGTTTAACTAGATTTTTAAAGATCAGTGCCAATGTCTTATTTCCCTACAATCCTGTGTTTTCATGTACAAATGTCTATTTGACAATTACGATTTTTTGAAATTCAGTGGAGTGTATTCATCCTTGTTGACAAAAATATTTCAAAGTTCTTGTTTTTAAACCATAATGAAGTTCTGTTTTTTTAATTTGATGTTATTTTTAACTTTCCTGCCTCAAAAGTTCATCGTATAATGACTTACTACGCAATTTACTCACATGCATATATTCTTTTGCTTTTTCAGTCGCTGCCCAGAAATATGGTGTCTCGTCTTTGTGAATCTAAAAAGGTCTGTGCCGCAGCGGACATGCAGCTTCAGGTGGGCGTGTGCCTTTGTTCTGAAGTTTTCCAGGGTCATTATTCAGAATAAACGTACGACTTGAAATTCTTGCCAGTGCTACCCATTTATTATAATAATTATGCTTCCAAAAGATCTTTCATCTGAGTTCAAAGAACTTGATTGACCTTGACTCATTGGTCCTCCAACCATCCTTAGGAAGTGGTAGTCAAGGTTATTTCCCAATTTCAGTGAAAAATCAAAGCATGGACAAGTTACATGCAAACCAGCTTAGATCTCTTTGTTCACTCTGTATCTCTTTTTACTGGGATTTATTGATTTTTGTTGGCTACACCATGCAGCTTGCGGGATCTAGGTTCCCTGACCAGGAATTGAACCCAAGCCCGTGGCTGTGAAAGTGCAGAGCCCTACTGAACTGCCATAAATTCCCTCACTTTGTGTTTTTCTTAAAAATGTGTGTTTTTAGATGAGAAGTTTCAACAGTAAGAACTCTTAGTTTTTTAATAAAATTTGAAGCCAGTGTTGCAAGTTTCCAGATAAAGACTGGAGACACTCTGTAAACCATTCGGACATCAGGTCTGCGTGATTTGGACATCAGGTCTGCGTGATCCCAGATGCCTTGGGTGTAATTTTTGAGATTGTTTATAGAATTCTCCCTCTTCTTCAGATCTTGAGAGTTACGTGAATACAACCAACGTGCCCTTCTTTCATCTCAGGCAATATTCACTTTATAATGATCCAGTAGCTACTTAAAAGTGTTGTCACTATGAATTGCTTTATAGTTGTGTCAGATCCAATCCCTGGAAAGTAATGAATGAGCTCTGTTTTTTTTTTTTTTTGGACCTTAAAATATACATTTCAGTGAAGATGCTGTTGCTATAGACGAAACCATGGATTTACATTATTCAGTGTCTATTTGTATCATATCTATTTGGAAAAAGATTTCTGAATCATTTGAAAGGTCAATGTTACTTGGCAACAGTCTTTTGATTTACATGTGTCTGTCGTGGGTATCCAATCTTTTAAAAGGCAGTGTCCTGGCCTCCTTTGCAACACTTGTTCCAGTGATTTTCTTTTAAAAAAGAAAATCAGCATTTTGTACAATCTGCCATCCTCCAGAAAGAAAAAGAAGAGCGAGGAAGAGGAGGGGTGCTGAGGGCTGGAGGAGGGGAGGACGTCCCCACCCTGAGGCCTCCCGCCGCTTTCATGTCCCCTGTCTGTCCCTGAGCAGCAGGACAGACCCCCCGCTGACCCTGAGCAGCAGGGCAGCCTAGGGAGGAGGACATGAACTATCTCAGGGCCCTAAGCAAGTAGCTTATAGTGCTTTTTAGGTTGTGCTTTTCTTTCTGTGCATTACTTTAACAACAGCCCCTGTTTTCTGGGGGCTCCAAGGTTCTTGGTCCCAGGCACACGTGATCCCCCAGTGGGCTCATAGCTCAGCCGTGTTTGCTTCATCAGCAAATGAGTATGAAATATATGCACACTTATTTTGCTGTTTTTATAGTTTTAAAAAAAAAAATGTCATTCCATGCTTGTATCTTTCATTTGTGAAAGGCATAATTGAAGAAACAAAACTTTTGAATTCCAATTAGTTTGTAGATTGGGCCAGAAAAACCCACTGCAGTTGAAGTTAGAATTTAAGAATCTCAATTTCTAATGGTTTATTCTGTTGGAATATGGATATAGATCAGTAATGTGGGCCCCTCTGAGTCTCTCTGTGCATTGTTACCCTTCATAGATATGGAATGGAAAGAGCTGTATTTAGTATATGTTTAAGTTGCCAGTTAGAGCAAAGCAATATTTATCTTTAAGAAATGTCTGTGTTTTTCCAGGGAAGGTTTAAACTTGACTTTATAATTTAGAGCCATAATTCTATATCTAGATGAAGCCAGAGTTAGAGGTCATTTAGCTTTTTTCTTTTATCCAAACTGATCCTGACTGCTTTTAGGTCAACAGCTGCACATTCTCTGCAGATTCCAATTTTGAATCAGAAAGATACATATCAGAAGCATAATTGCATGACAGGATTTTTTTCCTTTGAAAATAAAACATTTTCTACGTGTTTGCTTCAGGTAAACTTCCATCAGTGTTTAATATTCAAGTTAAATGTAGAGAAAAAGCACTTTAGATTTTTTGTACGAAATTTAGTTTTCAGAACTCGGTAAACAAGCAGCAGTTTGGCTTTGCTCTCCTATCGGGTTTCAGTGGCCGCTGCCCTCTCCTGGCGGGAGGCGAGCCTTCCCTGCTGGTCGCCTCCTGAAGCCAGGGTGGCCCCGCCCGGCAGCTGCGTCCTGTGTGCCCGGACCCCGGGGTGGGGTCGGCCTGGTCCTGGCCCCAGACACTCCTGCAGCTGCTCCTCCATCCTTTGTGACAGCCGCTTCCTGCTCCCTCACCCGCCCCGCCTGCCCCGTCACCTCTCGTCACCAAAATAGGTCCTCACCCTGTCATTTCTCTCACTCAATTATATCAGGATTCCAGGAAGAAGCCAAACAGAATTTTTCATGTTTCCAACTATAAATATGTTTCCAAAATTATGTAGAGTTTTGCAGTCGCAAATTTAATTTGCTGTACTATACAAAAAGTACCTTATAGACAGGTTCAGGGTTTTTTGATATTCTTAATCGTGAGGAGGTTGAGAGCGTCCCTTTTCATCACTGATGTGGTATGACATGCAGAATACCCTCAGTCCACGACACTGATGAGCGTGTGCCCCACTGCGGGCCCGGGCTGTTGTGCTGTGCGCCCCTTCACAGCTCAGCTGCCACGTGGCAGATGCGCGCGGTGCCCAGACTGAACGGCGCCTGCACCCCTCAGGTCTTCTACGCCGCCCTGGACCAGATCTACCATGGGAAGCATCCGCTCCAGAGCTCGACCACAGACATCCTCAGGGACACCCAGGAGCGCTTCTACGGCCTGCCCTACGTCCCCAACACTGTGAGTCTGGCATGTGCCCTGTGTGTGCCACTGGGCGGGCATAGGTGTCGAGTGGGGGGCTGTGAACCTGAACGGCTCTGCTTGGCGTGGAGGCTTCCTGCGGGGCGGGTGCTGGGAATGCCTGGTCACTTCCGGCCCCCAGCTGTCCTTGACATGTGCTCATTGTCCTGCCAGCAGCATTCCTCCTGGGAAGGTGGAGGTGAAAAAAGCCACTGGAGCTCATCTGTGGTTTTTTCTTTCCGTTATTTTTCTATGATGAGAAAAATACTGATATAAGATGATGGCGATGTTTGCTTCCCAGCCATTGTCACTGCAAAGAGAACCACACTGGTGGCAGGGTTTGGAGGGACGTGGTTTGTGCTCTGTCGCGTGGAGAGCAGGCATGTCGCTGCTGTTCACCGAGGACTGGGTGCCAGAGCCCGTCCAACTTCTTGGCCCACAACTCCCGACTCTCCCAGCAGCCCCGTGCATGGGATGGCTTCCCCACCTTTGGGGGTGCACCTGAGGCTATGCACGTGACCTGTCTTGTCTGAGAATATGAGGGGATGAGTGATGCTGCTGGGGCACAGACCCAGCCCGGCAGCCATGTGTTCTCATCTCGCAGGTTCCTTAGGAAGCTGGGGTAGGGGAGGATGCCCAGGGCCCTGGCACGAGGCTGGCGTGTTCGTACCCGTCGGGGCCTCAGGGCAAGTGGTGGGAGCCCGACTCCTAGTGGCTTCAGCAGAAGGAGTGTGTGTTGAGTCCCACGACTGCAAGGTGCAGGGGTCAGTCGGACTGGTTGCCGGTTAGCTGGGTTGAGTGAGTTCCTACATGGTGGTTTTAGAAGGTTTCTCCTCCTTCCGTGTCTCATCTCTTTTCTCCGAAGTTGTCTTGTTCTCAGGCAGACAACCCTGTCCGGGTGACGTGGTGACCACCAGAAGGTCCAGCTTTGCCTTCTCAGAGAGAGAGCTCATTGGAAAGTGCTCTATAAACTGGAAAATGCCAAATGAATGTGGTTTCATTTATTCCAGGTTGAGTACCAGCATGTGTTGGCGCTGAGAGTTTGCGTTAGTCGGGAAACTGTGACCATCCACTAGATCATCAGGTCCTCAGGCTCAAACTGGAGGCGGGGGGGGGTGTGCAGGGTGCTCATCTTTATCAGACAAGCAGAGTCACTGGAGGTTTCGTCTTCCTTAGACTCCTATCTGCAGCATTTGATTGTCTTAAAAGCTTCATGACATGTTTGAGGTACACAGTGCTGGTCACACTACTGCATGTGTGTGTGTGTCTGTGTGTATCTGTGTATTTGATTGTCTTAGAAGCTTCATGATGTGTTTGAGGTACACAGTGCTGGTCACACTACCAAAGTGTGTGTGTGTGTGTGTGTGTACACACATATATATAATTTTTTGTTTCAGTGTATGTATGTATACACATATATAATTTATTGTTCCAGTGCTGTGTATTATTGTGTATTTGGAGAACAAAAGTTAGCGCCTTTATTGGATAAGTATTATATAAAAATTTAACCCGTCTCTGTTTACCAGCAACAAACCAAAAAACTGTAAATATAGATTACAGCAAGAAAAAGTAGAAGGTGCCTATCAAAAGTTGTCTGTCCAGTTTTGATTTTTTGATTTGTTTTAAAAATTTTTTTTGTTTGTTTTTATATTTACAGAAGGAAAGATCACCTCGTCTGTGAGGGTGGTGCCCGGTTTTTTGGGGAGGGGTGCTGGGTCTTTGTTGCTGTGGGCTTTTCTCTGGTTGCAGTGCACAGGCTTCTCACTGCAGTGGCCTCTCTTGTGAACACGGGCTCCAGGGCACGTGGGCTCAGTAGTTGTGGCTCCCGGGCTCTGAGCGCAGGCTCGGCAGTCGTGGTGCACGGGCTCAGCTGCGGCATGGCATGTAGGATCTTCCCGGGTCCAGGGTCGACCTGCGTCTCCTGCACTGGCAGGTGTACTCTTCAGGGACGAGCCTGCCAGGGATGCCCCCAGAGCACCTTGTTCATAAAGTACGTTGTGTTTAATGTCAGTGTCCTAAATAAATGAAGGACTGAACCATATTTACAGAAGGAAAGATCTGATATACTGATTTTTCTCCAATCCATACACTTAATGTCCTCACTTGTTGGCTTAACCCTAATGAGCTGACTGTGATCTCCTGTGGAAGCCGATGGCTCAAGAACAGCGGCAGAAGGGTGGGCTTGTCCAGTTGGGACCACTACCCAGGAAGCTGGAGGATTTAGGCAGGTAGCGATGCTGTGGGGGTGCGGGGGCACAGGATGTTGGAGCTGAGCCCAGTGCCGCGGGCAGGCTCGGTCCATTTACGGCCTCCTGACTGTCAGCCGACAGCCCTGCAGCTGTGAGGGCTGAGAAGGGACTGATCAGTTTCAGTGGTGCCATCCCAATAGATCGTCCGTCAGGAAGACATGAAACCTGGATCTGTCCCCTTCTGCACACTGAAGTAAAATGGGTTAAAGCCCAGATGTGAGGAGCGGAGGCTTAAATTTTGGGGAGAGTCTATCTGAGCGCTCCTTTTTGTTCCTGTTTGGACTCCAGTGTCCATACGTGCATACGACATGGAAGGCTGTGTCCACTGCGTGAGGGCCTGAGTCTTCTGTTCAAGAACCGGGTGAAAACCAGTAAGGAGCTACAGATTGGCATAGAGGTTTTCAGCATTGTAACTGGAAAAAATTTTTTTTCCTTTCTAAATTGTTATTGTGCTTTAAAAAAAAAAACAGGTGACATAAAATGTACCATTTGGAAAAGAAATATTTTTTAAAGTGCTGTGAATGTGCAAGAGAACATGTGCTGTGCCCCCGAGAGTGACCTTGAGGTTGACGGAGGTGAGGAGCAGAGCGAGTCCAGAGCCGGCTCAGGCACATACGAACCACAGATGTTGTCTGTGCTTCTTGGTGTTTACCACTGTCTGGTGTTGACCGGGCTGTGATGCTGTCTGTGAGGATGGTGCCCAGTGTTGACAGGGGTGTGACGCCATCTGTGAGGACGATGCCCAGTGTTGACGGGGGTGTGATGTCGTCTGTGAGGACGGTGCCCGGTGTTGACCGGGGTGTGGCTTCATCTGTGAAGACGGTGCCCAGTGTTGACCGGGGTGTGGCGTCGTCTGTGAGGACGGTGTCCGGTGTTGACAGGGATGTGACGTCGTCTGTGAGGACGGTGCCCGGTGTTGACAGGGGTGTGACGCCATCTGTGAGGACGGTGCCCAGTGTTGACGGGGGTGTGACATCGTCTGTGAGGACGGTACCTGGTGTTGACCGTGGTATGATGTCTGTGAAAGTGAGTCAGAGGCTCAGCTCCCACATGGGCCTCAGAGAAGGTGTGGTCTCAGGTTCCAGGTGCCAAGACCAGTAGAACTATAAAGAGAAGTGAATAGTGAGCCCCAAATTCAGGTAGTCTTACCCCCCGAGCAAGGAGGGGCGCACCGAAGTCTTAGGAATGCTTTCTCACTTAAACTGATAGCAGCCGTGCAGTTGGTAAATGGGTCACTCAACAGAATACGGAAGGGCGTTCTTGGTGTGCAGCCCATGCCTCGAAGTGGGACCAGGCTGTTTCGACTGCAGTGTATGAGGTGAAGAATGGGCTTGAGTGACCCGCAGGGAAGTTGTTCCCGCATGGGGACCACACTGCTGGTGGGCAGAGGGAACTGGCGGGTGAGGACCAGTGTGGAAGGTGCCTGTGAGCCTGGCGGTGGGCTGGGCAGACAGATCCCACTGGGCGCTGGTGCTGTGTAAGCTGGCAGGGGTGCTCCCCATGTTGGAAGGGGCCATTGGGAGGAGGGGTGCAGTGTGGGGACCAGTGGGGGGGGGCAATTCAGGCTGAGTGCACGATGCCTGTGAGCAGCCGTGGGACCTGGGGCTGCGGGCCAGGAGACAGGGCCGGGGAGCCATGTAGGAGAGCGAGGCGTGCGCCCGCACAGAGGATGCTGTGAGCCGAGAGCCTGCTGGGTGAGATGGGGGACATGTGGGATGGCCCACCCTGTCAGCCTGTCTTCTCGTTGAAGCAGCTTTTTTCTAGTACCAGCAAAAACTGAAATTTTAAATGTGTTTTTTCTTCTGTTTCTACTACTAGAGAGTAGCATCTATTCTCTTTATGGGGTTAGGTAGCTGGGAGTGTTGCTTGTAGGACATTTACCATGGATTTGTGTTCACAGTAGATACACTCTCAGCAGACGAGTCACATGGGACCTGAGGGCTTCCTATCCGGAAGCTGCTCAAGTTTTGAGCAGATTCTTAACCTGTGTCGCTGCCATTGTGGTTCTAAGTGCAAAGGAGCAGGGCCGCTGATCCACAGGTCAGGGTGGAGTACGGCCAGCTGTGAGCCAGCCTTCATCCAGTGTGCTCTCCCTGGCCAGCTCTCCTTCAGGCCCCCTGACCACACAGAGCCGGGGCCAGCGGCAGCGGGCGGCGAGTGGAGAGGGTGGGCGCACTGGCCTCGTGTGTTTGCATGCACCGTTGTGCTCTGGTTGGTTTTCTAGCCTCAGAAGGTAGGTCACAGACACACCTGAATGGAGAAGATGCCCCTGCTCCCGTCGGTGGGGCTGTGTTTTCCCTAGAGCTTGTTTCTTGTTCACTCGGTACGAATTTTGAAGAACTTCTTTCTCCAAAATAGATATGTGAGTATGTATAGAAATCCTTCTCCATCAGGGGGAAGGCAGACTGAAAACCACAATCACAGAAAACTAACCAATCTGATCACATGGACCACAGCCTTGTCTAACTCAATGGAACTATGAGCCATACCGTGTAGGGCCACCACAGATGGACGGGTCTTGGTGGAGAGTTCTGACAAAATGTGGTCCACTGGAGAAGGGAATGGCAAGCCACTTCAGTATTCTTGCCTTGAGAACCCCATGAACAGCACGAAAAGACAAAAATGTATGACACTGAAAGATGAACTCCCCAGGTCTGTATGTGCCCAGTATGCTACTGGAGATCAGTGGAGAAATAACTTCAGAAAGAATAAAGAGATGGAGCCAAAGCAAAAACAGTACCCAGTTGTGAA